TTGGAGCGTGATAAAAATAAAATCCACGTAACGAATGTAAGCCTATCTTCCAACTTCGGCCGCGTTCATACTCAAGTTCGCACAGTCTGCAGGTTCCGCGACATCTGAGGAAACGCAGACAGGGCGGGCTAAATAATCAATTGCTGTCAAGTCTTCCTTGGCGATCATGCTGTTTCTCCTAATTTAGCGCAATCTGCGGAAAAGCGGACTCTTCGAAAGTGCAAATTTTCCGAATCGATTTGCATAGTACCTTTTTGCTTAGTTTCCACGGCTTCCTCTGCGTATAAACGCTGCCCAATGTTTGAAGCAGATGATGAAAAAAGGATAAATGTTTCGCCGTCTCGTCCTGATGCTGGGCTCGCTGGAGCTCGCGCTTGCTACGAGGACCACTTACAGCTGCACCACCTCCGCCAGTGCAGAAGGCAGGTGTTATTGAATAACATATGCCAAAGGAAACATGTCAAGGGAGTGTAAATACCAAACCAACGGGAACATCAGCAAATACTTTCTTATTGGAGGGTCGCTCCCTTTATAATGTTCCTTGGTTTCCCTGCTAGTGTGAAGGTTGGTTTGCTATGTCACTTGCTGTCATGATTGCATAAGATAGGGTACATCACATTCACGTTGCGGGAAAGCGCGCGAGCTGACTAATGTTTGGTAGCTAGTTGTCTCAACATACGCCTCGGCACTTTTTCACACCGAACGAGCTTTGTGCGATGCACCTACGTGACACAACAACTTCTCTCAATCGTCGTCACAATGTGATATTCACGTCTCGCACCCGATGGCTTAATTTATTTGATTATAACTATAACTAACATTTACCCCCTACCAGTGGTATGAGTGTTACAGCTTCATGGTTCTTTTTTTCCTGAAGGTCCATCTTTTCTCCACCTACATGTTTGTGTGATGAGCTGTGATTTCACTTCAAAGAATATGGCTGTGTTGTTTCAGTGGCTATACAACGTCTTATCAAAGGAGTCCGAGGCTGACCGGATAATTTTTGAAGATCCCGATCCTCACAATGGTTTCATTTTGTCACCTGATATAAAGTGGGATGGCACATCGCTAGAAAATCTTTACGTTCTCGCAATGATTCATCGAAAAGGAGTCCGATCAATACGGTGAGTTCCACTCCCAGTTCCTAAATGTTTTTTAGCCTTCAAGGAAAGTGCGTTTTGGTCGTATGGGCGGAGACAGAGAACTACCATCATTGGCACACCCTTCTCTTTATCAGAGGCGGAGCCTATCGTCATTCGGGGGACGGTGGCAGTGGCATTACATTGTTCTTGGATGATGAAGGAAATCTCATGCTTTGTAAGGGGATGAAAAACCATCTAAAATTTCCTTCAGTAGATTGTTATTAATTGAC